AAACTTAATGCTGTTAATGATAATCATAAAATAATTACTTATATTTGCTTAAGTGTACTTAATTAAAAATTATTTATTAAATGAAGGTTATATATTTAAACTGATTAAGAATGATTCACTTATATGTAGTTGCCATTTATGTTGAAGTAATAATTTTGGCATATAATCAAAACTTCATATTAAGCTAACATATTTTAAAAATAATTATATTATAATTATATTATTATAATTATATTATATTATAATCCGACTAATAATCAGTACATAAATTTGATAAAACTGGTTTCATAAAAATTCAAAGCTAAGCAGCGTCTATGATTAAAAGGTGGTTGTTTGATTCTGTACGTTTACTTCACCTACTTAGTGTTATTTAGTGTTTAAGCGAATTTGCTTTATATTTCGTTGTGATATTAAAATTGTATGTTATGTCACTATGCCATAGAGTCGATTGAACTACTAAAAAGGCTGAAGAGTTCAGCATTACAGAGTTATGTTAAAGAGATCTCAAAGGAATCCATTAAGGATGTGATGAATTGTAATTGCTGATGAAATATTGTGTTTCTAATATTAATAAATATCAGAATATGACAAGAGTTCACTATTTCATCAAAAAGATATATAATTATGTTTTCAAAAGAGTAAAATCAACTTGATGTTGACCATTTTCCTTAATTCAAAATAAATTGTTCACAGTTAATTTCTTCATTGACAAGATCAGATAGTGTACGCAGAATATTATTTAAGGGTTTGACAACGATCATGTGCCAGTATTTGATGAGGTTTACTAGAATATTGAGATAGAGAAGGCTAGTTTTTGATGGACGTCAATGCTATGCTACGGTGCATTGTGAATGAATTCATAACTAAAAAGGTACCTGATATTATTTGCAACTTTAAGTTTACCAAATCAACTAAAATTGCTGAGCATTTAGATATTATCTTGATTATTCAAATGGCTTTACGGGCATATTAAAGCCAATTCCGGTGAAAAGTAATAAAAATATTCCGAAAAATTTTTTGAATATTTCCAGCATTATATTGCCTCGAGAAGAGTTTTTTACATAAAAAACTACAGATAATAAAAATAATAAATGCTTTATATTTTCATTTAAAAAGTTTAATCGAATTTGGGATGGATTGTATATTATCGTTCATTACAGCGAAATCAAGGAATTCTTCATCAGTGACATCAGTTTTAAAATATATTTATAGGGATTATTAGTTTAGTTCCAAGTAAATAATTTGTACGTGATAATTGTCATATTTCCATTATGGAATGCATTAGGTGCCTTATATGAAAAATATTGCTTGTTCAATTTACTTTATGTAAATTGAATCTTTTTCAACATAATATAAAGAAAATTTAATAAAACTTAACAATAGCTACTAGATATTACATATATTTACATAATTTTCACATTAATGAATGACTGTATAAGATTGAAAACTTTTCAATATCATAAACATAGATCAGTTTTGATAGAGGAAATATTTCAAAAAGTCACGTTCTGATGAGATGAGATTTTAAATAAAATAATGAAAAACAATAAAAATATTTTCAAATATAAAATTAAATAAATTTAAAGAAAATAATTTGATTTGGAAACTTTTTGACTTTATGAGAAAATATATTTTCATTTAGAAATTATAACAATCGATCTCATGGCATATAATAATCATTAAGGTTCACATATTTAAAATTAATGATTCACCTATATATAGCTTTCATTTAATCGATGTTTAATAAATAAATAATATATATGAGTGTTATTACTTGTATTAACATTATAGGTAGATTTATTATTATGTATTATTTCGAAGCAATTACTATAAACTAAAATACATTGTGTATTCTGGACAATGCAGTTAGTACGGTTTTAATTTTGAAAGGTTTGTTAGCCAAGATTAAGATTTTTGCACAAAAATGTCTGGTAACATTCTTAAGTGTCTGATGGTTAAAGATTTGGGTTTCTTCTAGGTACTGACCTCAACTACTGCGTTGGTTTTATTTGTGTAAAGCCAGGCTTTTAAAAAGCCAATGCAATTGATCAATCATATTTCCTAAGATGTTTTATATTTATAATATATTTAAACATTTTTTGTCTATAATATTATAAATACATTAATATTTTATTTAAATAGTTATTTACAATTTTTACAATCTTTTACAATTTAAAGTAATAATATAATAAAAATTATAATATATATAATTATATATTATGATTATATAAATAAAATATTATATTTAATATTATACATTTTATTTTATCAATATTTATTTTATCAATATTTAAATAGTAATTTACAATTTAAAGTAATAATAAAATAAAAATTATAGCGTTTCTATAGGCAAGAATATAATGTATTATTACTTACTCGTAGACTTCCTACTTTGTGACCTATTTTAGTTTTTACTTAGAATGGAAGGTCAGTTTGCAGTTTTATAATCTTTCATAATCTTATAATTACTCCTTCCTGAAGTAACACGAAAATGCTCAAAGGAAGGTCTTCCTGATGAAGAGGTATGGTGTTTTGGTCGTTAAGAAACTGGCACTCCGGTATCATGACGATAGTACTAATAGCCGATGGTGAATTTCACAAGTTCATAGTAAAAATACAAAAAAAAAACATATATCTACCCACTTGGATAATTAAACTTCCTTTTAAAAACGGTGTTTACTACCCCTTGCTTATTTTGTTAATCGATTATGTTGACCGTAGAATTGACAAATCAGTCTATGTATATTACAAAATGCAGGTATAAGACTAGGCATTAAAATCTCTTTTCTATAAATGATAAAGTTTTTGAAATCTGCAACGTTAAAAAATCAGTTTGGTAGCTTGCTTAGGTCAATAACATTGGTTTGTCAATTGACAACTTTAACAAGTGTTATAGAAATACTCATTCAGCTTATTTAAATCAATCACTTAATTCAATTTCAATCGCCGATTATTCACTTAAACTGAATTGAAATAACTGATAAATGAAATCACCTAAACCACCGTAATTCCACAAATGCCACAAAAGTCATTAAGTCGATTATCGAGTTGACCACATTTGTAAAAGTGTTGACCGGGCCCTTTGGTAGCAAAACAGATAATCGTCTACAAAACAATTGAAAAACCAGAGAAAATTAAATAATTTGTTTCGCATCAAATTTCATTCAGCAGGAAATGAGTATTTTATATAATTTAATTACTGTATTTCCATAGTTAAAAATGTTACCTAAGCATAAGCGTGCCATAATGAATTTGATTCCGGTCATGTTTACATATCACATTTGGGCGAACTTATTTAAGCTGAAGGGCGTTAATAGTTCTAGCAATAATTAATTTCTAAATATCAATAGCAAAACGGATGTGTACACATTTTTTATTAACTTCACAGTTTTTGTAGATTATTTGTTCGTCTATGAGGTTCCCTTCGAAAAATTACTATTCAAAACCATTTGAAACTTTACATATGTAAATTTTGTTGTTGATATATGCTTAAATACGCGTAATCAAGGTAACGAAATTTTATACGCCCAATTAGTCAAAACAATAACAATTCAATTCATAAAATTTAATATAATTTATTTATGGGCTTGTGTATTGCTTCAATATTAAGTGAGCACAATTAATTTTTACATTAAATACAATAAACAATATTGGAATTAACTGACTAACCCACATACAGCGATGGCGTTTCAAATTTAATATGGGAACTAGGCAATGTCACTATTTAAATTAATAACATTAAATATACAACAGATAATGTTAAAGTCAGTTACATGACATTCATCTGTTAACATTTTACAGTCCGGTCTTTATATTTTACTGACTGTTATATACACTTGCAGACAATGTCTAGAAGAACAGGAGACAGCGATGCATATATTATGCCAATGTCCAGCACTGGCAAGTGGGAAGAAGACTGTCTTCGTACACCATTGGGTTTGTGATAACTTGGCAGGCAATCCCAAGCTAAATGAGCTGCTTGCATTAACAACCGATGTAGTTATGTGAACGGAAGCAACTCCAGCTTTAACTCAATAACGACATCAGAGAATCGAACAACGAAAAAGGACCAAGTAGTCTAATTTGGTTAATTCTTCACTTCATTGGGGCCTCTGTATAATATACTGTTATATATGGTTAGCTGCTTTTATACAAATACATTATGATCGATAAATGATCGGACACCATATCCGAGCTATATATATATATACATATAAAGTATACAGAGCTGGTCATACTAGGTAGACTCACTTATTTAACAAATATTGTAAACATAAAAAACACGTTTTTTGCTGTTTAAGTTAAAAATTATTTAACGTGATTTAAGGAGATTCACTGAAGATAATATCGCCCAAGTGGCCACCCTTAACTCGAATGGCGCAATGTGGCAATTTTTAAACATATTTGTCAAAGTTTCGACTGCTTTGACGGATATATTCTGGTGGATTGACCTTAAGTTCGTCTAATAGCCTAAAAGGAAAAAGTTTGGCGACATCAAATTGGATAATCGTGGATACCCGTTAAAATCACTATTTTTTAATAACAAGCGACTGGAGAATAGGAGTACAAAAGATTGATTGCCGGAAGCAGTCCCAGAAGTGCTGCTTACCATTTTCACAAACAATCGGCATAAATGCAGCAATAATGCAGCTGATTGGTGTTTAACATGAAGTACCTCTTTTAACTCATAATGATTATTTACCATAAATCCTCTTAGGCTTTAGTAGGTTTGTCTGGTGTGTATTGCTTCATAGAAAAAATTTCTAAAGTGTGACATTTGAAGCACGTGGAATTATTAGTGATTCTTAATTTCCCTGCCAATATTATAGTGTTACCAGATAGTTCCACCTAAAATGACCAATACTGTATATCCCAATATTATCGAAAGGAAAATGCTTGATCTTTTGAACATTACACATAAAACTTAAAGTACTATTTGGAGCACTATTAGCTACGTATGGTTAATACTTTGAAGAGGTATGGAAATAGGTACTACATACTTAGTCCTATTTGGGTTATATTGCTCTCAATTTTATAACCAAAATCTCTAAAGTTAAA